TGAATGAGAATTTTTAAACCTGGACATTTTGTTCTAAAAATAACTGCTTGATGTTCCTTAAACAGTAAAAGACATAAAAGGGCTACACCTGAAAGTAGATGATCTCAAGATAATTCCAAAAGCAGCATCCTATTTACAGTCTCCAGAAGGGGTGTGCAAGGAGAAACCAGGGTGAGGAAGCAAAAAGGCCTCCTCTGCTCATGTTCATGTCACTCCCTTCTCTCCTTGCTTTCTCTCTCTTGGGTTTTGTGCCAGTGCCTAAATGAGATTGTTTAGAACCAAGAATAAGAACAGCTTTTTTTCGTATTAGAGTCTTTCCGTAAGTGTGACATTTGAATTACTATTTTTTCCACGTCTTCCATCATTCTTACTCAATTTAAGCTTCTTGAGGACAGCGCTTAACAAACTATTTTGTTTATACAACCTTAGCCAATAGTAGAAATAGAAAGCACTCAGTAAGTGGCAACTCTCATGTGTCATGAACTATGTTGAGACTATCACTTACATTTTTTTCTGTATAATCGTCCAACACTCCAATGCCATAATACTTTATATTCTCTTCTCAAACAACGTTTGATTATTCTTAAACAACGATCCTTGTTTTAAAATACAAGGATTCCTCAGAGGTTATCTCTTAATTACCTGATATCTTTAAGAGGATTGGGGCTTAATTGAATAAGGCTTCCATTCCTCCTCCAGGTCATCTGCTGTGTTGGACACTGTCATTGACAAAGACTCCTAGGGTGGTCCAGAAACATTCCATCTGCATGCAGTGACACCTTAAAGCATTCCTTTATGCTCTCCAGCACACTTCTTTCAGGGATGGCATCCCTTTACAAGGCTGACAGCTTCTCTGGAGGGCTGTCCTCAGGCCACTTAAGCAAAGGCAGTACGAGTGTCCATCAACTGATGACTGGGTAAATGAAATGCAGTTTTAGCCATACGGGGGAATATTACTCAGCAATGAAATGAAATATCTGCACATGTTACAATGTGAGTGAACCTTGAAAATATTATGCTATAGTGGAAGAAGCTAGGCAAATATCATATAATTCTGTTTAATACACAATGTTCAGAATAGGGGCGTCTGGGTGGCTCAGTTGGTTAAGTGCACAACTCTTGATCTCAGCTCAGGTCTTGATCTCAGGGTTTGTGAGTTCACACCTCACATTGGGCTCTGTGCTGTGTGTGAAATCTACATAAAAAAGATAAAAGAAATAATTTCCAAAATGTTCAGAATAGGCAAATCCATAAAGAGAAAAAAATAGATTAGTGATCGCCTAGGGCTGGGAGAGTTTGGTGAGGAATAAGCTATGACTGCTTACGGGTATAGGGTTTCTTTTGGGTGTGATAAAAAATTCTGAAATTCATTGCGGCGATGATTGCACAATATTGCAAATATGCTAAAACCACTGAAGTAATACACTTTAAAAGTGTACATTGTTTATGTGAATTGTATCTCAGTAAAGCTGTCCAAAAGGGGGGAAATGCAGCACAAAGTGACAGAAGCATTGTAGTAAAATTATACTCGAGAATCATGAGATTTCCAGATCCTCGTCACAACTGGAAAAGACTCCAGAAAGTTCCCCTTCACTAGGTGGATGTACGGGATGTACGGGACCATCCTTATGAATAAAGGATCAACTTATCCATAAGTTGATTCTATTGCTAACTTTCTGTGATGCTTTTTTCTGTCCTGAACATGTTTCAAATTTTGTAACCCTTTTCTTTTCCTTAGCCTTTATGGGACTAAACTCAAAATAATTGTCAGACAAAAAAATCATGAAGTCAAGCACATAATGTTATATTTGGGAGAAAGGATTATAAATTAAAATGTAAACTGTGACCATGGCATTGCACATTATTGTTGCGAGCAATACCACAACGCTGGTACTCGTTATTTACAATGGCAGAGAAGAATGTTCAAACCACTAATAAAGTTTAAAAGCAAGACATGAATCCATCAAAGTCTCCATGTGTCAGAGTTGCCACATCATTTTTCATCCCCGTGGCCATGGGTAGGTTCAGGGCTGTATTACGTCTGCCCCGACCAGTGAAGCAGTGAAGCAACTTAATTTCCTGCCTCTAGTCTCTCTCTTCCTAGGAACTCACCTTCCCTCACACTTCCCGAGCTACCTCTCTAAAATGCAAAATGAGCTACCTCTCTAAAATGCCTCTAAAATGAGGCAGTGCAGCCCAGGACATCAAAGCCTGGGTCCCAGTCTTGCATGAAGGCCCCATCAGCTATGAACTCAGGCATTTTAGGCAAGTTACTTAATCTTTCTGTGAATCATTTCCCCCTAATTTTAGTGAGGATGAAATGAAAGCAGTATGTTAAGTGCTTAGTCCAATGTCGAGCTCATAGCAGTCAGTCAGTATAAGCTTTTATTATTACACTTCTATTCAACTGTTTCATTTCTACATAATGAAATCGAATCATTGGCAATGATATCTAACCACTGATCATGCAGGAACCTGTGTGATCTAACCCCCGTTTGTCTTCTCCCAGGTCACAACCTTCTCTAAATACATCTGGCAAATTTGTGACTCCAAGTACTTCTCAAGCTCTTTCTCTGCCATTTCTGTATCTCTGGTGTTGGTTAACCATCCAACTTCAGCTCAGGTCATGATCTTGCAGTTTATGAGTTTGAGCGCAGTTTGGGAGTACAGAGCCCGCTTCAGATCCTCTCTCCACCCCCCCCGCCCCTCCCCCACTCGTATGCATGCACGCTCTCTCTCTCTCTCTCAAAAATAAATAAATATTAAAAAGAAGAAAAGGAAAGCCTTATTTCATCCAGGAAGACCATGAGGCTATGAAGTGACTATGAAGCTTTCCTCAAATTCCTCCTTTTTTTGTGTTCTGGCAGCACCATAGGGGTTTAAGAGAAGTTGACCAAAGGGAGCCATATTTTATAGGAAACACAAACAGGACCATCGGTGGACTAGAGAAGAGAAATGATGGATACAAGAAAAAAGGATGGCTTCTAAGCTTAGATCTGAACAACTGGGCCTGTCGTGGTGCATTTATTGATATGGGAAGCCTGGAGGGAATAAGGCTGTGAGGGACTAGTAATAAAAACATCCATGTTTTAGGTTAGGTTTGATAGGCCAGTCAAATATCCCGGTAGAATTGGTAAGTAAGATGTTGAATATGTGAGTCAGGATTTGGGGAACGGTCAGGGCTATGGATATAAAATGGGGAGTCATTACTCTATAGGTGGGACCAGAGGAGATAACTTTGGGGAACCCTGGGGACCAGCAATATTTAGAGATCAGCTAGAGGAAGAGAAACCTGTTAACATACATGTGTGAGTTTACTCGCCTAGCACCTTCTTGAAGTTAAATACTGTCTCATTTAGCTTTGTGCCTAGCAGTGTTTGTCATAAAAATCCAATAAAAGCTTGTTAAATTCATTTCAACTCTAAAAGCAAAGAATGGTGGCCTCTTAGACATCTCCCACCTGTACACTTAAATACTTTGGCAACATTTGCAAAATAAGCATGAAGAACGACGCCAGCATCCAGATTAGGGTGGAAAATGGTGGATAGTTCCATGACTTCTGGAGACAGACTGGTCCTCCTTACCTCCTAACCTCTCCCTAGCCCTTTCCCTAGGGTCACACTGCAAAGGGCAGGGCCCCAGTGCTCACGTAGAAATGGCAGGAAGCCCAGGATCCCAGCATGATCCTCCAGGCTGTATACCATGGGCCTTGAGAGAGCAGCAGCTGCCAGAACATATGGGTGACCAGTAGGAATTCCCCATAGTTGTGGACTGAAGCACCTCCGTGTACACAATACCCAATTTTCAAAAAGGTTTTGCGACAAACTTTCTCTAGTATCTTGCCATGTTTTTCCCATTGACTTTAACAGTTTCATACCCATGTTTTTCTGATCCCGTTCCTGCGAAGCATTTAAGAATTTGTAGATCAAGACACATCCCTCTTTTTCACTCTCTTCTTGCTACTGGTCTGTTTAGGACTTCATCATCCTTCACCTTGGAAAGTTCGGTAGCCTTCTATCTAGTCTCCCTACCTGCATTTTCTCCCCACTTTGCCATCAGAATGACTACACCAAAGCATTTCCCTGTTAGGGTATCCACCTGCCACAAACTTCAATGGCTTCCATTGCTTACTAAAAATGTAAGATTCCAAAATTTTAAGGTTGATGTTCCAGATATCCCACAATCTGTCATTTCCAGGCACCCTGTCCAGTATTAGTGCCCATCAACCATACTCTGCCTAATGGATCAGGCCCCCATTTTTTCCCCACAAAATAGTTACTGTAGTTGTTTGTTTGTTTGTTTTTGTTGTATATCAGCACCTGCCATTTCTTTTGCTCAGGATGCTTCACCTGTTTCCAAATCCATTAACATCCTACTCCTCAAATTCCAGGCCAGTGCCACCTTCTTCAAGGAAACTCCTTACTCACCCCACTGGAGGGAGAAGTCCTTGTCTATACTTCTGAAAGAACTAGTGCTTATTTTTTTTTTTAATTTTTTTACATTTTATTTGAGGGAGAGGGAGTGTGTGTGTGGCATGAGTGAGTGCTAGCAGGGTAGAGGCAGAGAGAGAGGGAAAGAGAACCTGAGCTGAAAGACATAAAGAGCACTCCAAGATAGGAAAGATACACTCAAATAGTCATAGGTCTTTGGAGGATTTTGAGCAGGGCATTTACATGACCAGACCAGATCTTTGGAAAGATCGCTCTAAATTTATGTGCAAGGTGGATGGGAGGATCTGGGGACAGGATCCCTCAGGAGGAGGCTCCTACATGTTGCTCAGGCTGAGAGACACCACCTCGCACCTCTCCCAGGTCTCTGCCACAGCAGTAACCGCTGTCTCTGCCTCTAATCAGGGCTTCCAGGGCAGCGGCTGAGGAGACCTTACCAAGGAGCACCACGCAGTAGATGCTGAAACATCACCCCCAGGAGAAGAAGCAGTAACATGGCAGCACCTGTTTGAAAGGAATTAAAAAGCAGCAGACTCCCTTTAGAAAGGAACAATGTCCAAGAAAGGGCGAAATAAGGGCGAGAAGCCCGAAGCACTCATCGTCGCCCTTCAAGCTGCCAATGAAGACCTCAGAACCAAGCTCACCGACATCCAGATAGAGCTGCATCAGGAGAAGTCCAAGGTGAGTGAGGCCCCTTGGGGCCACAGCCTGGAGAGCGGCTCTGGCCCAGCTCTGCCTGCTGGCCCACCCCAGTGGCTCCTCTCTGCCATTTTCTGAGAAGAGCAACGACCCCTGTATTTATGGAGATTCTCTTGTGTGTGTGTGTGGCAGGACTCGAGCACAGGATTCACAGAAGGTGAAAATAACATGCTCATGAGACTGATCTCTGCCTCCTCAGGAAGCCTGGTTCAGGAAACCAGGTATAATCATTGAGACGACATCCACCCCCACTCCCTCCCACCACTTCTTAGTTGTCCTATCCTGGGCGAGCTCCGCCCTGCCCTCTATGGGTTCTTCCCGGTATGGCACAGGACAGCCTTTCTAAAATAGATCCTATCTGGTCACTCTTCTTCTCAAACCCTTCAGCGGCTTCTTACCTTTCTCAAAGCCAAAGGGTTTTCCCTACCACTACAGGATATCTCTTCCGCCCCTCGATGAGGAATCTCACAGTACTTTACCCCAGATGACTCTGTTCTATCCTCTTTGCTGGATCAAAATATCCACTGATCACATTTAGGGCCTTTGCCCCTTTGCCCCCAGGCAGCTGTGTACCTCTTTCCTATGTCAGCTCTGGTACCTCCCATCTGTCACAGTCTCTAAGATAGTACACTTCTCATGCCCAGTTACTTCCATAGCCTATTTTGATTCATTTAATAGTGATTTCTGTATTTATCTATTTACTTGTTTAGTGCTTATTTCTGCTGTCCAGTGTAATCTCCCAAGAAAGCAGAGTCCTACCTGACCTCTATCCCCAGAACCTAAATAAGTGTCTAGAACTGAAAAGCTTAGCCTGGGTTTGTCGACTGAGCAGAGGAACGAATGAAGGGTGATTCATTCCTTATACCTTAGCTTCGTCAGCAACATCCTACTATCTCAAGAGCTCTGCTGAGGCTCCAATTAGGCAAGTATGTAAAGCGGTTATGATGATTGGATGAGAAAATTCGTATCACACGCTCAGAGAGATGCCAGGCACCTGGTATACTCCTAAAAAATTATTCATAGTAATATTCTTTCTAATACCTCTGTACCTGAGTCAGTTGCTAACTCAATTTAGGAAAGTCTCTTCACTCCTCTGAATCTCATCTCTTAGCTGGATATGCTAACACTTATCTCTCCAGAGTGGTGCAGATATCAAATAGGGTCACAGACAGGAAAGTATTTTCAAATATCCGACATACAGGAGACATTTTGCTCCCTCCAAACCAGGCAACTGCCAGCTTAAAGTTGCCCTATGTAGATAACTCTTTCTATAGTAACACAAATAGATGTTCCTGATCTAGCTATAGATCAAAAATCAATATCCTTATTCTTTTTTATCTATATCTTCTTCCTTGACATTGCTATTAAATTTTAATTATTGGGGTGCCTGGGTGGCTCAGTTGGTTGAGTGTCTACCTTCAGCTCAGGTCATGATCTCACGGTTTGTGAGTTAGAGCCCTGTGGTTGGCTCTGTGTTGACAACTCGGAGCCTGGAGCCTGCTTCAAATTCTGTGTCTTCCTCTCTCTTGTCCCTCCCCTGCTCACACTCTGTCCCTGTCTCAAAAATAATGAATAAACATTAAAAAAATTAATTATTGGGCCACCTGGGTGGCTCAGTCAGTTAAGCATCCAACTCTTGACTTCCACCAGGTCATGGGTTCGAGCCTTACATCGGGCTCTGTGTCCACAGTGTGGACCCTGCTTGGGATTCTCTCTCCCTGCCTCTCTGTCTGCCCCTCTCCTGCTCTTGCTCTCTCTCTCTCTCTCAAAATAAATAAGCTTAAACAATTTTTAAAATTATTTATTTTCCCAAATATGTATTCTCCTGGTTTCAGCAATAATAAAGCTTGGATCTGCCAAAGCCCCTTGCCTCCTGTCTCTGCTAAGGCTTAACCTTGGATAACCAGGCCCCATTGTAAAATTTGTGAAGGAAGCTTTTTTCCATGAAACTAAAAGGGACGTGATATCATAAAAACAAAGAGAATAAAACAAAACAGAAACACTCATTTGAGAGTCAGTAGACCAAGGCCTTGTGTTTATCTCTCCTCGGGGACAAATTTAAGTGTCTCAATACCTTGACCCGTAATTCAGATGACTGAATGTGTTTCTGCATATCTTTGTCTCTCAAGCATCACTGTGCATTAGAATAACCTGGGGGAACTCATTAAAAATTGAGATCTCTGGGCCCACAGTGCAAAGCTTCTGATAAAGCAGGCATGGTGAGGGCCAGGACTTATACCTCTAGCAGACCGTCCAGGCAGTCCCCGTGGAGGTGGCTCTCTGCCTTCTTGTTGGCAAACATACCACTCTATAAGATTCCTTCCAGGTCTGACAGTCTATGAACATTTCACCAGTTTTAACTTTCCCTGGGGCAGCATAACGTTTCAAGGGAGGCCGACTCCTTTAATTGTAGTAATGACAGGATGACAAACTCCATTCATGGGAGAAGCCTGTCCATCTGGAGACCGGTAGCCATAAACTGACACTGATTTACGGAGAGCAGACTCCTGAGGTTTCAAAAGGCAGAGGTCCTGCAGACCCTACCACTGCCAATTTTGCACACATTCAAGTCTTTTAAAAGGGGGAAGTCTTGAGCGTGGACAGGGCTACCTGTTTATTCAGGGCCTGGCACTGGTATCTAAGCCAGCAGATCAAATGTAACCTCCCCTTCCTCTGACAAGAGCCTGGAAGCCAGCCTCATGTAGAAAAGCACTGCCCTTATCCTTCTCTCTGCTGGCTGCCCCCAGTTTCCCTCTCTGTGGCAGTTAATTACAGTCCCAGCACAGGGACTAAAACAAAGCCCCATCGCCTGTCAGCAGCCTTCCCCAAAGAGCAAAGGGAATTTAGAGGGCAAGCAAGTTATAAAGCAGTTTTATTAAAATAAATATGATTGTGTTTCCAAAGGCCCAGGCTTTTTTTTTTTTTTTTTTTTTCCAACGTTTATTTATTTTTGGGACAGAGAGAGACAGAGCATGAATGGGGGAGGGGCAGAGAGAGAGGGAGACACAGAATTGGAAACAGGCTCCAGGCTCTGAGCCATCAGCCCAGAGCCTGACGCGGGGCTCGAACTCACGGACCGCGAGATCGTGACCTGGCTGAAGTCGGACGCTTAACCGACTGCGCCACCCAGGCGCCCCTAAAGGCCCAGGCTTTAAGAGAGAGAATATAGACAATGCCAAGATGGAACTCATCCTCTCAGTTTGGCTCCTAGGCTATCATGATAAAATCACAATTCAGCTACTGAGAAATGGGCAAGGTAAAGAGGGGAAACCTTTGGAATGATGGAGCAGTACTCATTTTTCCAGAAAGACACATCTTCCCACTGACATTTACAGAACACACTGCAGACAGAGTCATGAATGTTTTAAACTGATTATATAAATAGCTACACATTATTGAATGTGAACGTGTACTATCTGTCACACACTGTAATAAGCACATTTCATCCTGACATCACTGCACCTCTCTCACTTAGCACCTGGGTGACCCTGAGGAGGTTTTAAAATCCCTCTGTGTTTCCTTTTCCTCCTCTGTCAAATGGGAGAATAGCAGTGTCTACTTCATACGGCTGTGTGTGGGTATGTTGGTCTTGAATAGTGAGTTTGTGTCAAGCATGTTCATTATTATGATTCCAGTGTAGGTGGGCATTGTTGTTATCCCCATATTACAGATGAGGAAACTGAGGCTCAGTGAAGTAACATAATTTACCCGGAGTCACATTGTTACTAGGTGGCAGAACTGGTTCTTCCACTCCCTTTGCGTCTCCTCCAAAGTCTATTCTCTTATTTTCTTTTCTGATACATTTTCCCCAGCTTTATTGAGCTATAACTGATATATCACATTGTATTCATTTTAGGTGTACGACATAATGATTTGACATATGTATATATTAAAGAATGATTACAACAAGAAGTTTACTCAACATCCGTCACCTCACATAGTTACAAAATATTTTTTCTTGTGATGAGAACTTTTAAGATCTCCTCTCTTCACAACTTTCTTGTTTTTAAATGTTCTATATCTTTTTTAAAAGTTTATTTATTTATTTTGAGAGAGAGAGAGAAAGAGAGTCTGCAGGCACAAAAGAGGAGGGGGGGGAGAGAGAGAGAATCCCAAGCAGGCTCCACGCTGTCAGCTAAAATCCTGACGTGGGGCTCCACCCCACAAACTGTGAGATCATGACTTCAGCTGAAATCAAGAGTTGGACATTTAACCAACTGAGTCACCCAGGTGCCCTTCTGTCTTCAAAAGTTTCAAATATGCAGTACAGTCTTGTTAATTATACCCACCATGCTGTACGTTATATTCCCAGATCTTATTCATCTTATAATTAGGAGTTTTTCCCTTTTAACCGCCTTTACCCATTTCTCCCACCTGTAACCCCCAGCCTCTGACACCCAGCAATCTGTTCTCTATATCTATGGGTTCAAGGTTTTTAGATTCCTCATACAAGTGAGATCACATAGTGTTTGTTTTTCTGTCTCTGACTTATTTCACTTAGCATAATACTCTCAGGGTCCAACTGTGTTCTTGCTAATGGCAAGATTGCCTTCTTTTTAGTGGCTTAATGATATTTTATTGTGTATATGTACTTTATATAATGTGTGTATACACACACTTTCTTTATCCATTCATCCATTGATGGACTTAGGTTATTTCCATGTCTTACAGAACCTATGCTCTTAAAAAATAAGAAGGTAACTTTTTTTCTCCCTTCCCCTCCCCCATGGTCTTAAATTCTGAGAACAAACTGAAGGGTTGATGGGGGTTGGGGGAGAGGGGAAAGTGGGTGATGGGCATTGAGGAGGGCACCTGTTGGGATGAGTACTAGGTGTTGTATGGAAACCAATTTGACAATAAACTGTATTTAATATATTAAAAAAAGGGAAGATCTGGGGCACCTGGGTGGCTCAGTTGGTTAAGTGTCTGACTCTTGGTTTTTGCTCAAGTCACGATCTCATGGTTCGTGATTTTGAGTCCTG